GTTTCCCTAGTCACTTCTTTCCTTTTTTTTTTTTTTTTAAGTGTAGAGAAACCTGCTTCACGACAACGAATAGGTGGGAAGGGACAGAGTCTTGTCACACAATTCTCTAAATCCCTGCCAACCTATATGCCAAAAACTCTATCCTGAAAAATTTGGGGTGGTTTCAGTTGCAAATTTCAGAAGACAGGCTTTCTTGAACATTGCCAAAACCAATGCCTTAGAGAACAGACTGGCTGCAGAGGATTTAGAGACCTGGCGTCCAGGTGTTCCCAATCTCAACCCCAGGCCAGCCTTTACTGTTGTCTCATGAGCTCCAGCCCCCGGCATTTGCCCCTGAAGCTTGGCCCAGAGTTCAGATTCCAGAAAGGAGAGGAGTGAATACTTCTTTCCTAGAGTGGCAGCCGGGCGACTGAAGAGGGGGAGGTTGGGGAAGGTAAACCTCTAGGTAGATGCTTCCTCCAGCCAGGTGAAAAGATAAGCTGAGTACTTGAGAATTACTCCTTTAAAATTCTATAAGTGAGAATGTCACTCAGTCCTAAAAAGGAATTGAGTTCTGACACAGGCTGCAATGTTATGCTAAGTGAAGGAAGACAGACATAAAAGGACAAATAGGTTTGTAACCAAAATATATGACCCCAGGCTAAGGGAGGGGATGGGGAGATAGTGTTTAATGGGGACACAGTTTCTATTTGAGATGAAGTTTGGGAAATTACAGGTGATGGTTGCACAACATTGGAAATGTAAGAAATGCCAGTCAATTGCACACTAAGAAATGGTTAAAATGGCAAATGTTATGCTATATATATTTTACCACTACCACAAAAAAAAAAAAAAGAAAAGAAAAGAAAAAAAAAGGTTTTAATGAACTCCAGGAGCATGCACACCTGGGAAGTGGAGGGGTGCTTACAATATCTAACAATCAGTACAGAGTCTGAACCATGCCGTGCCCCTTCCCAGGCCGCCCCCCCCACCCCGCCCCCTGCCCAGAAGCCAAGCGCTGAATACATCCCCCAACATCCCGTCAGCCCAGCCCTGCCATTTGCCTACCTAGGGGCAGCTGCGGCCTAGCCAAGCCCAGGGACAAAGCTGGGGGAGCAGGAGGAAGACTCTCCACTGTGACCCTAGGTTCTGGGGCCGGTAGGTTCACAGAGGCTGGTGGAGTGGGTGCAGGGGTGTGACTGGGTGTGGCCGACAGGCCCTTCCCCATGGCAACAGGTGGTGGGATGTCCTCTTCATCAATGGCATTGCCCTTCCGAACAGAGGCCAACAGGTTTTCCAGTGTCTGGGAGAAGGCATAAATGTGGGTTTCAGAGGAGCCCAGAGCTGGCTGAGGTGGTGGGGTCCTGGAACCCTCCCATCTGCCTGTTTACCTTAAGTCCCCGGTCATAGCGCCGCATTTTGGCACCATCTCCGGCTTGCTTAGCACTTTCCATTGCTGCCTGGTAAAGGGCCAGCCTCTCCTGCAAGGTGGCCTCTATCCCAGGGCTGGGGGCTGAGGCCTTTGGCTGTGGGAGGGGCCAGGGGCATGGTGTGGGCAGGTGGTAACCCAACTCGGCCCACCCTGAAGGTGTCCTTGGTTGAGAGCCTACTGCACACCAGGTGTATGACCCCTGGGCCAGTTGCCCACACCCTTGCAGGACAGAATTTATTATCCACTTTCCCAGTACAGAGAACTGAGACTCAGAGGTGTTCTATCACCTGCCTGAGGTTGCATGGCTAAATGGGGTAAGCGAGGGCCTTGAACCTGGGCTGCAGGGAGCAGGGTTGTTGGAGGTATACCTGGGCCACAGGAGGGTGGGACTCCAAAGTCTTCTGCTCCTCCCCAAGGACCTCATTTAATTCCGCCTGTAGGGACAAAAGGCCAGGGGCCTGAGTGAGGGCCCAATGGACCAGGCAACAATGGGGGAACAGCCCCCTGCTCTGCTCTCGATGCTCACCAGCAGGTCATCATCAGCCTCCACATCCTCCTCGTCTGTCCCCTCCTCCTCATCCTCGTCTCTCATGCACAAGCTGGCCATCTTCTCAATGGCCTCCATGGGCAGGGGTCCTGTGGCAGAGGGAGGCACCAGGTGGACTGGGATCCTTTGAGAGTCCCCAGCCTCCTGTCCCAGTCACCCATGACCCTAACAAATAGGGTAGCAGGCAGCGGGGTAGCATGTCCCCCTCCTGGTCCTTCTATGGCACCCCACTGCCCTCAAGTTGCCAGGCATGGCCCCGCTCCCCAGCTGACCTCGCTGGCCTCATCCCTTTCTTATCGAGGCTGAGTTCAAACTCTGGCTCTGGAAATTTCTCACTGTGTGACACTGGGCAAGTCGGGTGACTCAAACTTTTTATGGATCTGTGTATGTCCAAAAAAGACTGCAAAAGAGTTACATGTATTGATTTGGAGTTTTAAACAAAGTTTAGCCAGTAGATGAATTCATAAATACAGAATTCATAAATAATGAGGATCAAACTGAATTAGTAGAAAGTGTAAAAGGTCCGTGTGCCCTCTGGGACCCAGCCCCATACAACTACTGTGGAGTCTCCTGTACCCTGCCAACTCCTCCAGGGCCTTTGCCTATGCTGTAGACCTTCCCAGGAGTGCTCCCTAACTCCACGTGGCATTCCCCATCACAGGTGCCTCCTCAGGGAATCCCGCCCCAGCTGACAAGTCTCTCCCATCACTCTGTGCTTCTGCCATCCCAGCTCTGATCATAAGATAGCAGGTTGGACTAATAACCAGGTCCTGTGTGAAGTACTTTATGAACACTAGAAGATTAACTCCTGTGATGTAAGTGTGGTTTATTCCCATTTTACAGATGGGAAAACCGATGCCCACACAGGTATTAGGACGCATTAAAACGTAGCCAGTAAGAGGCAGAGCTGGGATTTAACCTTCACTCTGGGTCCAGAAATGCTCACTTAACCTTTAACCCAGATTGTAGGTTCCAGGAGGACAGGGACATTCTCTGTCTCCTTTCCCCCATCTCCCCAGCACCCAGCTCTGAGTCCTGCCCACAGTGGGAGCTCGGGAAATGCTCCAGGGTGGTTTGAGAGTCTCACCTTTGCCTTTGAGCTTCTCCAGAGCTTGGGGCTGGCCCCCCACCAAAGCCAAGAACTCAGCCTCTAGTTCCTCATTGTTAACTCCATCCTCGGGGATCATCAGGCCATCCGGGGAGAGATCAACCAGCAGGCCCAGCTGTAGGAACAGCAAGGGTCCAGTCAGACCTTGGGATGCATCCCGCTTGGCTAGAGGCAGCCACAATGAATCCAGAGTCCCCTCAGAAGGAAGTGAATCCAGGCCTCTTGGTGAAAGCCATTTCCCTGGGGAGTGCCAGAGGCTAGAACAAGCCCAGAATGCAACAGGTGTCCAAGATGGGCCAGGCTCCCTGGCATAGACCAACACAAGGCAAAGGGCAGATGGGGAGACCCAACTCCCCGCACGGAGCCTGCACCCATGATGCACTGCTAGCCAAGTGCAGTGGAGAAAGCAGGCCCCTCCCTCTGCCCAAAGCACAACTACTCTGCACACCTGGGCTTTTCCTCCCAGTATCCTCAGCAGAGGGGGCCATGCAGGAAGGTTGGAGGCATCATGAGCAAATAGAAGCCCTGACAATAACATAGACGTTGAAAGTGGGGTCTTTGCGATCAACAGACCCATCCTCCTATCCTATCCTGATTAATAACCCATCGCAACGTGATAACATTAGGTCAAACTACAAAACTGCCCTTTCTCTGGGTCAAAAATGGCCAAATAATGAGTCACATATGGCTCCTTCTAATAATATAGTATCACATATTGAGTGCTATGTTCTAGCACTTTTCATAAACTGTCCCAATGAATTTTCACAACTGTCCTGTGACATAGGGACTCTTAGAGCCTCCATTTTACAGATGAGGAAACTGAGGCTGAGAGCTGCAAAATAAAGAATCCAACGTGCAAAAGCCAAGAGGGATCTTCAGGTTGGCGAGACTCGAACACCTGGGCACTAAGCTGTGGCCTTACGTCAACACTGAGAAAAATCAAACTCTTCCAGTGCCTGAGGCAGAGGAGATGGGGCAGGGAGAAGGGATCCAGTCACATTCCTGTGGGCTCATGGCAGCAGCTCTGGATTTGCACTTAACTCTGGCCAAGCTGTTAATTCTTATGACCTTGGGTAGGTGTCTTCACCTCTCTAGGTCTCAGTGTCTTCATCTGTACAATAGGGATAAAAAGAGTCTGTCCTGGCCTGGCTGATGTGAGGATTCAAAGCGTGCTCAGGCCTGGGGAGCAGTAACTGTCCTTCTTACCCCAGGTGGAGGCCTTCCCCTCCAGGACTGGAGCTGCTGCAGCAACAGGTGGCCCTGAGCCTGGGGCGGGGCGCCACGAGCTGGGGAGCCAGGGCCAGTAGGCCACACTTTGGGAATAGAACCTCACCTGGGAGGCGGGGATCAGAGATCACCTAGGAGTGGCGATCAGGTTCCCCTGGGAGGTAGGGCCCTCCCCTAAATGTGTGACAGGGATAGGGAGGGTTTCTCGGGTAGC